GCATAAGAGTTATGCGACCGCACAATAGATCACAGACTAGACTCTCAGAAACTAGGATGTTCTGTTTCATTCTGCGATGGGTCGGCGGTCCGCACAATATTTTTGCGGTCGCAGACCTGCCGCATTTCTTCCTTTCCATGAATTTTTGTCATCTTTTTCATGTTCTTAGCTCTTCAAGTCTGGTTTCCCCAAAATTACATAAGAAATGACTTATAATGCTTTAAAAGATGAGCTAAAGTCTATGTAATTAGTATCAAAAGTGCCGCATTTCTATGATACATCAACACCCCCAACTTAGACTCTTGCTTTCTCTCAAGAAACTAAAAAGTCAACCTACTAATCTACTTCCGACTGATCACAAAGTAGCAGTGACTATGGATGGTGCTGATAGTTAGCTAACAAGCATCTAACTTCTTTTATTCACCCTTCTTTGAAGACAAAGATCATTAATCAGTTCGAATAATCAGTTTGTGAACTTCGAGCCTCAAGATCAATGACAGAATGCTACCCACAGCTAGATATGCACTTGTATCCTACTTCAAGAAGCCAAACTTCTACTAAATCTTGCATCTCATGCGTGCTCACATCAAAGAAAATCCCCAACTCAGCACATATGTACAGGGGATACAATCAAACACTCTTGCACTCAGGAAGAAGGCTAAGTGCTACAAGTATCAGTCCATATGCTTGCCCTTATTTTAACTCATTGCTATCTCAGGAATAATTGGTTGTAGATCAAAAAGGACTTTTTACGAGCTGTAGTGTAGGCTTCGGGACAGGTTGGATGAATATTTGGGAATATAGTCAACAGGTTCATAACTTTTCATTCTTCAATCTTCAGTTTCTTTTTTTATAATAATGGATGTACTATTGGAGAAGGAATGTTATTTTAAATTTTGGGGTATGAATTTTGATATAGTTGTAGTGTTGAATTTTGGGGTATGAATATTTCAAAGTGAACTGAAAAAATAATGATTATTATTGCCTCAGATTGCTCTAAATTATGAAGATGAAAATCATGTAGAGGCAAAAGGCATAGGACAAAAAATTCTGGACAAGGTGCAACAAAGTGACAAACGTATGCATTGGAGCTAGCCGGCAAAGATTTTGCCTATGATGGTGAGAAGAGCTTGTTTACAATTGGTGTACTACCTCATAACAAACTTGAGTTTACTGTTGTGTTGGAGGATTTCTCTTCTTCTTCTAGGTGCAGTACTGAATTTCTTTTTGCATTTTATAATAAACAATTTTAGTTTTTTAGAAACCAATTTTATGTATCAACTAAACTCTTGCTTTATGTGTACAGAAGCACCACTCGAGGTGGAAGTAACCTTGTGAGAAAAAGTAACTAAATTCTGAAATAAGAAAAAACAATATAGCAGCTGTCCTACCTCGATTCAGATCCTAGATGATTCTGAAACTCATGTTTGATAAATCCAACACGATTTTTGTGAGATTACACCCAAGATAGCCTCTTTAATCACCCAATTTGGCCTTAAAATGAAGGAGTTATGATGTTTTGAAAATTTAAAAGCAATCTGAAAATTTTAGGAATATAAATGGCATTTTTGTAATTACTTGCACCAGAAAAAAAAACCAACAATATGAAAATCTTCGTTTTAGCACCCCAAACTCATTCGAAATATGCCGGACACAAACCATATATGTATTTCAATCATAAAACACGCTACAAACCTGCTCGCAAATTCAAAACACCGAAAAGAGGTCATCTTGACCCGATATTGACCATGGTCAAACTTTAAATCTTTAACATAACTACTTTCTCAACCAATGATCCGAAACACACCCGAACCCCTCAAGACCCCGTCCAATTATACCAAAAAGTACAAATATATCATCCAAACTTATTCAAAGCCTCAAAACACCCACGGGAATATCACAACAAAGAATCGAGGCTCAAACTGAATAGAATTTCTCTTAAGTTGTTAAATCTTCATTCTTTCAAAAGTGTGTCTAAATCACACTTAAACACTTCGGATTAGTTTCAAATTTTACACACAAGTTCAATTCAACTATATAGACCTTTTCAAAGTCTCGTAACACCTATTGGAGTCCAATAATATCAAAGTCAACTATTGGTCAAACTTATGAACTCTTAAGTTCTTCAAATTGCCAACTTTCGACAAATTGTGTCGAATTATTCTTGGAACTTCCGAAACCAAATTCCGACACGACGATGTTGCCCCTATTTTGGCTAATCAGTGGTGGTGATTGGTACAAGACCATCATTGAGTGCGAATCGTTCTACCAGTTGCCTTTATCCAATGGTTCCGAGGTAATGCTTGACCCTTTGGCCATTTACTTTGAAAGTTCGAGTCCTGTCCTCGGATTCTAATTCAATAGCGCCATAGGAAGACACACTCACAACTTTGAACGGGCCAAACCATTTGGATTTGAGTTTGCCCGGAAAGAACTTCAATCTTGAGTTGAAGAATAAGACCAAGACACCGTATTTGAATTCTCGTATCAAACATTTCTTGTCATGGACAAACCTAATTCTTTCTTTATACATGGTTGCATTCTCGTAGACATGGAAACGGAATTCTTCCATCTCGTTGAGTTGTGTCATCCTTAAATTAGCAGCTTTGTCTCACTCAAGATTTAACTTTTTCAATACCCACATGTTTTTGTGTTCAAGTTCCACTAGCACGTGACAAGCCTTACCAAAACCCAATCGGTAAGGTGAGGTGCCAATGGGTGTCTTAAATGCTGTTCGATAGGCCCACAATGCATCATCCAGCATCTTTGACCAGTCAGTTATGTTTGCATTAACTGTTTTTGCTAGAATTTTTTTGATCCCCCGGTTGGAGACTTCAACTTGACCGCTTGACTGAGGATAATAAGGGGTAGCCACCTTGTGCTTAACTCCATATTTTTCGAGCAACCCGACAAAAGCTTTGTTGCAAAAATGAGAACCACCATCACTAAGGGTGGCCCTTGGGGTTCCAAACTGAGCAAATATGTTCTTCTTCAAGAAGGCGGTTACACTTCTTGCCTCATTGTTCGGCAAGGCAATTGCCTCAACCCATTTGGAGACATAATCTACTGCCACCAAGATATATGCCATGCCGTAAGAGCTTACGAAGGGACCCATGAAATCTATTCCTCACACATCAAAGATCTCGACCTCCATCACAATGTTCATAGGCGTCTCATGCCTTCTAGAAATTGACCCTTGTCTTTGACATTGATCACATGCCTTGACCATTTGGTTTGCATCTTGGTAGATGGATGGCCAATAATAGCCACATTCAAGCACTTTTGCCACAGTACGATTTCCACCCTGGTGACCCCCAACTGGGGGGTCATGACATGCTTTGAGAATTTGAATTACCTCATCTTCCGGAACACAACGCCGAATGATGTTGTCGGCACAAATCCGGAACAAAAAGGGTTCCTCCCAATAGTATTGCCTACACTACTGCAAGAACCTTTTCTTTTGATAAGCTTCCAATCCATCGGGGATAAGGTCACTAACCAAGAACTTAGCAATGTCGTCATACCAAGGAGTGGAGGTGCTAGATATTGCCAATAAGTGCTCATAAGGAAAGGCATCATTAATTTCAAGATCTTCTTTTGATCTCCCTGCCTCTTTAAGCCTAGATAAGTGATCCGCAACTTGATTCTCTGTTCCTTTTCGATCTTTGACTTCAAAGTCAAACTCTTGTAATAAGAGAACCCACCTAATCAATCTTGGTTTAGCATCATTCTTTGACATAAGGTAGCGGAGAGTAGCATGATCGGTGCAGACTATCACTTTGGATCCCAAAAAATAAGCCCTGAATTATTCAAAAGCATAGACAATAGCAAGCAGTTCTTGCTCAGCTACAGTGCAATTCATTTGTGCACCATTGAGTGTCTTGCTTGCATAGTAGACAGGATGAAGAATCTTGCTATGTCGTTGACCAAGTACTGCTGCAATAGCTACACCACTGGCGTCACACATGAGTTCAAATGGAAGAGACCAATCGGGTGTGACAATAATAGGTGCTGCAGTAAGCCTTGATTTCAATTCCTCAAAATCTTTGAGGCACTTCTCATCGAACTCAAACTTAGCATCCTTTCAAGGAGCTTGCACATGGGACTTGCAATTTTTGAGAAGTCCTTGATAAATCTCTTGTAAAAACGGCATGCCCCAAAAAGCTCCGAACACCCTTTACCGAAAAGGGTGGAGGAAGCCTGGAAATGATCTCGATCTTTGCCCGATCAACCTCTATGACTTACTTGTAAATTTTGTGGCCAAGAACAATACTTTCTTCCACCATGAAGTGATATTTTTCCCAATTGAGTACAAGGTTTGTTTCCTCACATCTTTTGAGGACTTGCCTAAGGTTGGCAAGGCAATGCTCAAAGGAATCACCAACTACAGAGAAGTCATCCATGAATACCTCTATGAAGTCCTCTACCATGTCTGAGAAGATTGACATCATGCATCGTTGAAAAGTAACCGGGGCATTGCATAGCCCAAATAGCATCCGGCTAAATGCAAATGTTCCATACGGACATGCGAATGCCGTCTTCTCTTGGTCCTCCATGGATGTTGATTTGGTTGTAGCCGGAGTAACCATCCAAGAAGCAATAAAATGACCTCCCCGCTAGCCGATCAAGCATTTGATCAATAAAAGGCATAGGGAAATGGTCCTTGCAAGTAGCACTATTGAGCTTCCGGTAGTCCATGTAAACTCTCCACCCGGTCACCGTCCTCGTTGGGATGAGTTCATTTTTGTTATTTTTAATAACGATCATGCCCTCTTTCTTTGGCACATATTGCACCGGACTCACCCAAGGATTATCGGCAATGGGGTAGACAACCCCGACATCCAACCATTTTATGATTTCTTGTATGGAAGGATTTAACCTTCTTTGATCCACCACACTAGGTTTTTTCTCGTGCTCCAATTTTATCTTGTGCTCACAAATTCCGGTGGAAATCCCTCGGATATCTGCTATAGTCCAACCAATTTCCTATTTGTGCTCCCTCAAGGTATCCAATAAGTTTTCAACCTGCACATCATTCAACAAAAAGAAACAATTACGAGTAGAGTTTCATTAGAGCCAAGACATTTATACCTTAAGTGCGGTGGAAGTGGCTTGAGCTCAAGTTGTGGCGGCTCGATAATTGAAGGCTTAGCGGGAGGAGTAACTCTGTTCTCTAAGTCAAGAGAAAGCTTCTTTGGTGCATAAATGTAGGACCCAAGACCTTCCAATGCATTCAATAATTCCATGTATCCTTCCATGTCCTCACCATCAAATTTTTCCAAAATAGCCGCCAATGCCTCACCAAGGCATTCCTCTTCCATCTTCACCTCGACTGCATCTTGTACCTCATAAACAATACCAATGACTAAGATACTCTCGTATGCATGTGGCAATTTTATACCCTTACTTGCTTGAAAGGTAACTTCTTCGTCATTAACTCGAAACTTATTCTCATTTCGTTCCAAGTCCATCAGTGCCCTCCCGGTAGCAAGGAAAGATCTCCCCAAGATGATAGGGATCTCTTTAACAACATCACAATCGAGAATAACAAAGTAAGCAGGGAGGAGAAACTTCCCCACTTTCATAAGTATATCATCAACTATTCCCACCAGTCGCTTTATTGAACGGTCGGCCATTTGCAACCTCATACTTGTAGGCCTAGTCATACACAATCCCACTTTATTGTAAATAGCAAGGGGCATTAAGTTGATGCTAGCCCCATTATCACAAAGGGCTCGTGCAAAGTCACGCAATCCAATAGTGCATAGAATGGTGAAGGCTCCCGGGTCCTCTGTCTTTTGGACAGTGGTTGTTGCAATAATGGAACTAACCCGGTGAGTCACATTCACCACTTCATTCTTGGTGGTTTTCTTTTTAGAGATAAAGTCCTTCAAGTACTTAGCAAAACCCGGCATCTCTTGAAATGCTTCCACAAATAAAATGTTCGCTGATAATTGCTTAAGAATGTCATAGAACATTTTGAGTTTGCTATCATCAACCTTTCTAACTAGTCTTTGAGGGAAAGGAGGAGGAGGTCTAGGAATTGGTGCTAGAGTTTTTGGTGCCTCTATTACCTTTCCCTTAACCTATTCATGGTTCACTTCTTGAGTTCTCACCTTCTTCGGGAGTCTTTCAACTTCAACAACATTTGGCACCTCAACTTGTGCCTCGACTTCTTGTTCAGAATCTTTCACTTCAACCACTTGTTCATTCTCTCCTTGAAGTAGTTGCCCACTTCGAGTTGTGATTTCCATACAATAAGAAGTTGGACCACTCCGATCCCACTACCTTTTGGGTTTGCAATTATATTACTTGGGAGCGTGCCTTTTTGCTTCGAATTTTGATCTCTTGAGAGATCCCTCATTTGCATCTCCAACTTTTGAATAGATGCGGTGTGAGAACCCACAAGCTCGGTCATATCCTTAAACTTGGTAGGGTTGTCTTTGATATCCTCCTTGAGGATTGTTGACATAATTTGCTTCTTCGTACTCCTCATTTGACATGGGTTGCACATCTTCCACCACATTCACCTTTTTTGTTTGGCTTTCAGTGAACATTTTTGCCAATACGTTGACATTGGTGGCAAGCCCGGCAATTACTTGATTCGTTTAACTACTAACTTCTACGATTTGTTAACCACTCTTATACACCCTTGTAACATTTAAGACCAACAAGATTAACTTCTTATCATCTCAAATATAATCTCTTCTCGGATTTATGTCGACTAACTTACGACGTGATTTAACATACGTGAATATGGGTTGTAACATTTATATTCAGTGAACTGATGCCTACAACACCACTTTTTCTTGGATTAATGTATTTCAGAAACTCAGTCCAAATACTAAAGATTCTGAAGTTAATGGCCTGTTTTTGTTGACAACTCTGAATTAGCTAGTAGGTTTATTTGGATTAAGGTTTCATTATGAAATTGAAGTGTAGTACACATATAAAATTAGTAAAAAGAATAAATAGAAATGATTCTTTGGCATTCTCAAGGTGGAAATTTTGCGAAGTACTTGGGCAAGAAGAGAAAAAGAAGAATTTGTAAAATTGTTTGTAAACTTGGATCCACTACCTTAAACTCAGAAAGGTAAAACATGGGATTATAGTCGTAAAAGTTCTCGTTACTTTTCTTGTCTCTATACAAATGACTGGAATGTTTCATGGGAACATTTTTGCTGGAAGGTTTCTTTTTTCTTTTGTTGCATGGGCGAGGTGGTAATTGAGGGCAAGAAAGTTGGATATATATGTGCAATGGTGTCAATTGATACCCCTTCATCGGAAAATTACATGGTGTAGTTAGGTAAAAATTCTTTTTAATTTATGTATACTATATAATGACTTCCCTTGGCTTCTTCAGGAGTTTACTCCTTCATCATTTGACATTCCTTACTGAAAATTTTGACTCCGTCACTGTTGTTAGTTAGTTGGAGAATTGCCACCCGAATCGGTGAGACAGCAGAAGTTCGGGTCAAGAACTAATTATAAGTTCTCTAACAGTTTGAACTTTTAAATGAAACGGTCGCACAATTGACGTTCAACTTTTTCTCGTGACCAAGCGAGGCTTCTTTATGTTAAATATAATTGGCGCACTTTGGCTTCATCCTCTTGATTGATGTTCCCTGGTATTTTAGCTTTTTGCGGCCAACTCATTGCTACAAACAACATTCCTACAGGTCCTTAAGATTTGTCGAGACCCACCTCACTCATAGTCTTCATGCATTTCTTTGAGAATTAAGTTTCAACACTTGTAACTACAACATAGGAAGAGAATCAATAACAGAACTCCAGCAAACTTAGGTTTTCCTTTTTTCCACCTTCAATAACTAATATTTTACACAGTTATGGCAAATAAAGCAGAAATGGATGATAATTTTTGGAAAACCATATGACATTTTGAGTTTGATCTTCTACTATTATTACCACTCTAAGATTTTGTGCATTTGGTAATAGGAGTAGAAAAGCAGCATGTGCAATCATAAAAATATGCTAAAGAAATTTCTCAAGAAAGAAGACACCCTGAACTCCTCCCCCAATGATATCTTCACCAAAAAGTCTCAATACCAGAAATAACAGAAGGGTAGTAACAACCTAGAACTGCATCAAAGGAAAACATATAGTCAGCACGTCATAAGGCAATTACTACCAAACTTTATCTCTAAACACAGAGAGACATGTTCATGTCTTGCGTATTTAGTATCACAGTAAGTTTGCCACATAGTGCCTTAACTCTAAGCAGCATCCTTCCTTTTTTATAAAGTACTTAAAAGGTGGCCTTATTTTTAGGCTTTTCATTTGTGAGCATTGTTGGCACATTTTGGAGCCTTTTATTTTAGACCTTGTTGGCCAAATAAATGGCATTGTATTTTGAGAGGACGTGGCCAATTGTTGGCCAAGCATTTCTTTCTTCTTTTTCTAAATAATGAGGATTCTCTGCTCATTTGAAGACACACCAACAAGACTTAGTCTTCATTTCTTATTTCTCCCTTGCTTCCTTTATTAAGAGTGTTTTGTATGAGAGTTAGTGTTGGGAGGCACTGGTGTGAACCCTTTCTTTGGAGTAATCTTGTGAGGTTTGTCACACCTCCTTTTTTCCGAGGGAATGGTGCCAAAGAAGTTTTTCCAATTTAAGTAACATTAATCGAAATGGGATTATTTATTAGATTTAGAGTCGCCACTTGGGATAATTTCTGGTGTCCCAAGTCATCAGTTTATTTTAAATCCCAAATCAAGGAAATTTGACTCTGTTTTACGGTCCGCGAACACAGAAGACCGGGTAAGGAATTCTGTTAACCCGAGAGAAGGTGTGAAGCACTGTCGGATTTCGTGATTTTAGCACGGTCGCTTTAATCATACCTGGCTTAATTAAATTATTTAATTACTCATTTTAGAACCTGTGTACATTTACCTTTTTACCGCTTTTAATTGCTTGATTATTCGTGATTATGAAATTATCTTGAAACGAATCACGCGTACGTATATTCGTTTTGTTTGGTGTATCAAGAATCATGTAACGCGTACGTATATACAATTAATTTGCCGTTATTATTTTTAAGATTGTTTAGTCAAAGTTGCGCGAACGCATACTTTGCCTTTAGTTTGGCAAATCATAACTATGTCACTCGGACGTGTACATAATCACGATAATGAATTGATTAACACGTTCCTAAAGCATACTAGTGTATTCAGAGTATTTCATTTATTTATGTTTTTAGATCTGAGATATTTATTTGTATAATTACTATTATAATTTTTTTAATTAACGGCAACCAAAAATCTAATGATCTTTTAATTTCTTTTTTTAATCTATCACTACGATTGAACTATTTAATATGCTACTATCTCTATTATTTTCTAAATATCTAAAAGTAGAAATTAAGTAAAGAATTAAAATGAACTAACTAAATCATCTTAAAATTAAAACACATACAGAATATCTATTATATTAGAATGAAATCCACCACAAATATCTGCTAATTACTAATTCAACATTTATTAATGCTTATAATTTGCACAAAAACAAAAAAGATCATATGGAAAATTACATGAATTTCTACATTGAAGGTAAATTTGTTCTTTTATGATGCAAAATTGACTGTCTTTTATTAAACAATCTTACTAGGGCACAAAATTTAATGTCCTAAGTTTTCAGATTTTTTAATTCATCAACATAGAATCAGACAAATGAAAAGTCTTTAAGAATCAAAGTCTAAAAAAATGACACTAAACTTTCATATACCTTAAGACAATCAACTGTACATTAAAGACAAAAGGCGAAGTTGAATCAAAAGAAGACAATATGAACAAAAATATTATCACAAGCTAAACACCTAAATAATATTCAAACATTTTAAAATTAAAGAACTGAAACTACAAAAAATCCTTTGAATGGCTCAAGTTCATATTCAAAGTAGGACATAAATATATAAAACAATGATTAGAAGAAAACCTATAGAATGAAACTTCTTTAAGAATAATAGTAGGAAACTGATATATGGTTTCAACTCTGTAATCCCAAGCGAAGTGACAACAATGAGTGGAGATAAAACCACGGTCAGAGCCGAAATCTCTAAGGAAAATCGGAACCCGAATCTCGAACTTAACCTCTACTCGAACGCCATGTTTTCTGCCTGGTAATCTTTATTGAAAAAAGGATGTAGAACCTTTTCCTTTTACAAAAAATTTCTGCTTTCTCTCAATATTTGTCACTTGGATATTCTTCAAATCCTTTTTTTTCCGTCCCCTCTTTTTGCTCAGTATCCGTTTTTCTCTTTATAGAGAAGAATATTAGTAGTTTTTTTGTTCCTAGAATTTGGAGTAGGGGACGTGGGTTTTTGAAGTGAAGTTGAGGAGTTCAGTTTGTGTGCTAGTGTGGATAGAGAGATGTGAGGGAGTGGGGGTGAGACGTGTGTGAAGTGGTGTGTGTAGGTAGTGGTTAGTTAGATTAGATATAAGTTAATCTTTTGGTTTTTTTTTTCTTCTTCTTTTCCTTTTTGTTTTTCTTTAAAAGAAAAAATATAAAGATAAAAAAAATTAACTACCTAATTTTTAGACTAAAATAATATAGGCAAACTAAATATTTACAATATAATTTAAATGACACCCAAAATATACTAAAGCTAAGCTAACTTATTTATTATAAATCTGATTTAAAGAAATCATATATTTTTTGTAAATTTTTTTTTTCTCTTTATAAATATGAATATGATTTATACTATAAGCATGTGAATCATTTTTGTTTGTAATTTTTAACTTTTCTCAAATAAAACCTATTAAAAAGAAGATAAAAGTTTAAAATATCAGGATTAGGCCTAGAAAAAATATTTACACTAAAATAGTATAGAATTCGAGTGTGGTAAAAAATTAAGTGTTCACAAGGTTATTCTCTTACGGTATTTGGGATTAATTAGAGTATTTACTCTAATTTTGTACTCTTATTGGTATAGTAAAATTGTTCATCTTCGCTTGTGGACGTAGGTCACACTGACCGAACCACGTTAAATTGGTATCTTCTTTATCTTATTTAATTGCCGTTATTATCAACTTTCATTGTCTTTGTTATTGTCATTATACCATTGTTTGACTAAATTTTGCACTACCCGAGTTTCCGATCCTAACAAATTGGTATCATAGCCGGATCTAATCGGGTTTGTTTCAGTAGCCAATATGACTTTAACAAAGACTTATGTTGAGAAATTTGATCGAAGTGCAAACTTCGGAATGTGACAATTAAAGATAGAAGCTATCCTAA